CCGATGAATTTTTAAAAAGAATAGGCAATAATTGAACACAATTGCGAAAAAATGGAAAAACTGCAATGCACTATGGGATAAGGGGTACCGGACCACGAAGTCCATCACAAAATTCACTCATCCTATATGTATGGTGCTCCGCTATTAATTATGTTACCGGTAATCGTGGCGCTTGTAGGCGATAACGGACAATGAGGGAAAAAACCGTACACGATTCCACATTGAGAAAACATGCATGGAGATCAGTCCTGACCAGCGAACAGTGGGTGTCACTCCGACACAGTCCGAGATCTCGCAAGAAAGAAGCCAGTCTAGACGTCTGTCATTACTCAACATAAAGATATTAAAATAGGATGCAAGAAACGCCAGCGACCTGTTTATTTCTTAAATAATACACACGCGCGAATGGACTGACGGATGGCTGAATATATGGATGGATGGATCGACGGATGGATAGATGAATAGGTGGACGAATAGATGAATCAATGGTCCACTGTTGTCGCCATGCAAGAAATAGCTGAACGGTTTCAGACAGGCCCATGAGAGACGACGATGATGATAGAAACCGCAGCAGACACGTCACTGCATACAGAGTCGGGTACTTCTCCCAGAAGAAGTGTAAGAGCTGGATAAGGTGCGGTCTACGGTGCGACGGTGAGGAGCTTGCAAGCTCATGTTGACATATCTGTTACCACTGTACCGTCTTTAAATTAATAAATAAATAAAAATAAGATATATCGCGAGAATCTCGCCTACGCCCTGGGAGAGGAATGCCGCGCAAGAGGAGAAGCAGGAGAGGAGGAGGCCGAGGGAAAATAATACGCCCATGCCGATTTCTCTCGTGTGACTTCCGAAGCAACATCCGAGGGGTGCAGCTAGAGAGAGTGGGAAGGAGGGAGAGAGAGCGCGCAAGAGATAGAGAGAGAGAGAGAGAGAGAGAGAGAGAGCGCGCGCGCGTGCGCAAGAGATAGATAGATAGATGGATAAATAGACAGATAGAGAGAGAGAGCATGCAAGAGACACAGAGAGAAACACACAGAGAGAGCGCGAGAGAGCGAGAAATAGAGAGAGCGCAAGAAAGAGAGAGTGATAGAAAGCGAGTCAGACAGAGATAGATAGATAGACACACAGAAGAAGCGAAGGTAGAGAGAGAAAAGAGAGAAAGTGCGTGAGAAAACAAGAGAGAAGCGGAGAAAGAGAGTAAATAATATATATATATATATATACATATGCAGGACACACGAGGATGTAAAGAGTCGGACTGGTGTGAGTGTATTAGTACAAGCGTGTATACTATAATCAGGAGTGTATCAAAATTTATAGCAGGAGTTTTGATACACTCCTGCTATAATCAGTGCCACTCATTCATAGAACATGATGCGTCAACAGATTGCAGATTACCAAAAAAAAAATTAAAGAAAAATTCATATACATAACCAGTTTGTTGACAGGTTAAAAATCATGAGCAGTGAATAATGAAAAGAACGTCCACCCTAACAACGACACTAACAATTAAGGTTTTATGTACAATATGAATTAAAAATTACTAGGTATAAAATAGTATCTTTTATACAACATACACAAAATGTGATGTCTTTAGGAAAATAGTCATATAAACTTTATTCATAAGTAATTACTCTTGTTAACAGTATAAACATGATAACTAAAAAAATATATAAAAGCAATTTACAAAGGGCTTATAAGTTAATGTGACATTCTAGTTACGCATCACGACCTCCCAATGGTATAACATGTCCAGAACTGGCATTGTAACAAATATTATAACATATCTATAATCAGGTATTATATTAAATCTATAACCATGCCCATAATTAGTTATAATAATAAATACTATATGATCCATGTCCATAATTCATCCCGTTAGCGTTATAACAAACCGCTGCTGATATTCATTCTCACAGCTAATAAACACTGTACAGCCATGCAGGTTGCAGCGTTTTTCAAGTTAGACACGGTCACTAAACAAGCTGCTCGCGGCAAAAAAAACCCGACAGCACTACATTCTAAAACGTTCCGCCGCTACTGCGCCGCTGACTCTCGTGGGATGAGTTGCGTGGCCATTCTAGCATAAAACCCTGCTTAGTCCCAAATGTTGTTCACATATGCGCCCGAAACAGTTGGATAGCGCCACAGGCGCATGGTAATCAGGAAACCTTTCTCAATATGGACATGTTCGTACAGGGCACGTTTATGAAACGTTGCACGTCAGATGCCGCGCTACGTTAGATGTCCTTAAGATAAAGATGGAAGCCTCTATCGTACGTTAGTAGCAACAACCACTATTTGCAAGACAGCAATAAGGCAAGCCCACTCATCCATATAATTAAACCTACCAGCAAGCCTACAGCACATGACAATTAGAAGAATGCTAGCCACCTGACCCTAACTAATTAACGGCACGCAAAAACTACACAACGGAAAAAGGGCTACACATACAGGCAAATGCTGCCGACTACCGTATACCCATGCTCAAACCACTGACACCAGCTCACAGCAATGCACATAAGAAATTGTATCGATTTTAAAGAAGCCAAACTAAACCCTTCTTCATACCAAATTTCAGCCTTCTTGAAATATTCACAAGTGCTGAATTGTCAGCCCTAGCCACATCACGAATCCAGGGCATAAGTATAATAATTCTACTAGCCCAAACCGGCAGTCAAATTACTTTCTAACAGACTAGGAACAAAATCAATGGATGTACACCAATTCACTTTTGAGGGCGTGCAAAAGGTTATCCGACAACTTATCATACTTCGACAATGTCAGCGGTAGAAAGTATCCATTCAAATGGCTCCTTTTCAATAATGAGCCATAAAAATCGCTAAGGTCAAACCGACTGAAAACAGAAACAAAACAAGCTTTTTCAGATCAAGCTCACGTCAAGCACCTAGGTTCCTCAGAAAATGCTTTAAAATCTGCCCACTCTGCCCCATTATGCACCTTCTGACCTCAATTTCGCCCCCACAGTGATGGCTATTCCTACCATGATGCATATACACACTGACTGATCACGAGCCACTAAGAAGAATCGCAGACGCATTTAGATTCGAAATAGTAGACCGGCCCCACAATCTCGACATTTCCTCCCTATACCTTAAGTTAAGGAGGGAATGTTCCCACCTTCTTTTACACTCTTGACCTTTGACCTTTAACCCAGCTTCGACATCCCAACTCGTTTTCGGATATCCACCCCACGTCCGCCAATATCGGGTCGACCGTACGTCGAAGGCGGTTAAGATTTACATCAGAATGAATGTTAAAAATCAAGCACCCGATTTCATTTCAGGGTTCCTCCAGCACTGTCGCATTCTTGCGACTCTTCTGATAATCCTGATAGAGTTCTATAGAGTTCTGTATGAGGGTGACAAACTCTTGTACGTGGACAATTGTGTCTGCCTGACTGTTCCTTCGGCTATCGCCTACACCACTCTGATAAATACAAATGTAGGGTGATTACACATTTTTAAACAATCTTTCACAAGGAGAGAAATCACAACAATGATGCATGGCACAGATTTCGCTGCACTGCTTACGTGTCCTGTACACATTCCCTGTGCATGAAAATATTCATAATCTGCCTCATTAGGATGGATGTAGGTAAACAAAGCAAAAAGCACAAAACACAATGTTCAGTCTTTTGCCACAAAACCTACACATTACACATTACCTTAGACATCGCCTTATACGTACCTTTGTGAGTTCCTTGTGTTTATTATGCCATTCTAGATAAGGGCCTTGAGCTTTAAGGAGTGTTCCAAAATCACCGAAGTTCAATTGAGTTGCTTCGTAAGGAACTAATTGTACTGCAACTGAACCTTCTCGTCGAAATATAGCATTCATCAGGCCCGCACCATTCATTCCAACTAGAATGTCATATTTCTGAACTAATTCTACCTGAAAGAGATCAAGTCGATCTATTTTTTAAATCCGCCTAGCTAGGAGACTAGCCACCTAGATGTTCGTTTCATCCATTTCACATATATCAACATCATCATGTAAATCAGGGATGCCCTATACTGGCCACGAAGAGCACTAACATCGCGGAGAAGGGTTGTGTCTTAATTAACATACCATTAGAACACTAAGATCATCCTTTCCATAGCTCAAAAGTCTAGGAAGAGTGTAATAAAACAAATGACAACCATAAAAACTAATCTGCTTATTACTATTATATAAATCACGTGACTTTGGTCAAACTAAGAATATTTATTGAGGAACGTGATCTATGTGATGTTTCCCTGACTATAGACACAATATCATACCACAGAAGAAAAGGTTCGTTACCCTGTTAGGTTACTATTTCATCATATCTACCCTGATATGTAGAAAAAGTAACACGTAATGTATACACATCTGAATGTACTTACTTGCTCACTAAAAGATTTCCATTCAAAGATGATCAGCTCCATGTCAGCAATGTCACGCACTGCATCTATCAGCTCTTCATTGTTTAGAATCAATCTCCGGTTAGATCTTGAATAAATACACATGCGTTTTCTAAATACATATAATCAATTCTTAATCATTAATTAATTAATTTCGTAATCATTCTTAATACGCTCTTGATATAATACATTGTTTGCTGTTATAGCCAACACTGTAGTAGTACATCGTTCTGCCATCTATCGGCAGAAATTATTAACAAACGTACATTGTCAGTATTATTTATAATTATCACTGTAACATTGGTGTGATGTGGGCGTAACATTCAAACATACGAATAAAGCTGTTAGCAAATATTAAATCTCGCAGTGCTTGCCTAGTACTAAACGAATATGCACCGTTTTATCAGTCCAACACGTAGCCGGTTCTGAAGAATGCTTTCTACAGGCTCTGCAGTGCCAAGCTGCTCCTTTACGAATCTTGTAAAGTTTCGCAGCAATCCTTCACTTTGCTTGTACTCCATTTTGGGTACCTATGAGATAAGAACGACAATACCAATTATATTAATCACAGAATAGACAAACACACGAGTCCTGGGCTGCTGCACTATTACCTCTACCATACGGCTGAGAACTACTGCAAGGTAGCACTACTACATTATCAATAAACGATGCATGTTTACATATACGTACCCCAAAATAAGCCTTCTTGAAACAAAGCACATTAGTATTGTGAATCGCTTTGCTGTCAAGTGGTAGTAGCTTTGCACCATGTACACCTGTGAGAACCTGCAATTACAATGCTGGCTTGTAACTGCATTTACATCTATAATTGCACATTCAGTTATTATCCATTTTAGGGGCACTCTACACCATTCATAACATTTTCTCACCCATGCTGTAACTGGCAAGTTTCATGTGGCTATGTTTGTCTTCCCATGTATAATAAAGCGTCAACTGCCAGTTTATGTGAAAACGATTGCAGTCCAATTACAGGGTTGCACAGATAAATGTATAAACGAAAATATTATTCTCCTTTGATTTTTTTGAAACTATTGTTTTCGATAACAAATAATGGCATGAAAGATGAGGAAGTTCTAATCTCATACACTTAATATCTGCATCCAGTATTTGTCGTTGTTGTGCTCTAGGAAAGCATCGGTTTCCCACGTAATCGGTTTCATTCTCATCATCTCAACAGATGGCAGTAAAATGATATCCTTAATATTCTTGTCTGTAGCTTCTTGCAATAGTGAATATATAGGTATTGCAGTGTCGTAGAATATATGAAAGTAGTTACTGCTGCCATGCCAATAATACACAGTGAAAATGTATGCTTCTTGGAATTGCTGGTGACAACGGCAACTCAAATCACGTTCATCTGCTGCTTCATTGGATTGATGTGAAGAGCCTATGACCATCTGCCAAGTTCCAATCTTCTTATTGAACAAATCTAAAGTTGTTTTGTCATTGACAGCGCTCACATGAAACTGTTTTGTCGAAGGAATAAGGTAAATGTCTGTAGCCGTAAAGAAAATGTAGGGCCAGTGTCCAGCAGCAGCAGTTATAATAGACTCCCTGCCGTGACAAATGGATTCATCGCTAGTTGGTTCATCTGCGACAGCACATCCTTGTGTTTCGGATTGACAATACTCTCTGTCTTCTCCTCTGTTTGTGATGCAAGTTAAGGACAACACTAGCAGGAGAGTTATATGTACATAGTACACACTGGCACTACCTCTCGCCGTGGAACTAGTAGATGATGTCATTCTACTTTTCGAATAGCCAAATGTAGGATTAACTAATTGTCTGCAAGCAGTTCCACGTTGTACTCGTAGCAGTCGTGACGACTTCCGAATTAGTTCAGAGTTGAAACGTACTTCTGAAACTGTTCAGGTCATGGACAATGTCATTGTATCCATAATCCAACAAAGACTCTAAATTTAACAATTTTAACCAAAAAATCAGATTAATAAAGAGTAGAGTTTGTCATATCGAAACTCAGTGCATTATTACTACGTTATGCTCTGGTTTTATTTATGTTTTTCTTCTTATTTATGTTTTTCTGAAGTTGTGACGGAGGAAGACATATTGGTGCTTATAAAGATGCGGGTGGACACACACATGATTAGCAATATAAAACAATATATTTAAGAATATTACAATCATATTAAAGCAGTACTTAAAAAAACTTAAAAATAATATCACATAAATTTGGTTTTTATTAATTTATATATAAAGTAAGTATATTTATTTTTAAAATTACTAATGTCCGCGTTGCTAAAATTGCCCACACAACCGCCCACCGCAGTTCATGGCGCTGCTATCAATGTCATCGGCGCCTTTTTCAAATGTAAACACAGGTAAACATCACCACCCAACTAGTAACAGTACTACTACTATATGATTGATTTATAATATAGTGCTTATTCCTAATAACTAACAGCAGTCTGAGGCTGAGGCCTCTAACTAGCGACGGACTGATTTATGAGTCATGACGGTAGTTCTTGCAGTGCCAGCAGGCAGCACTAGCAGTAAACCGACCAGGTTCTCCGACTAGTTACACGGCGGAGGCGGCTAGTTACGGCCTCTCGCCACGTAGTGTTAAGCGAGATGGGAACTTGTGGCTACACTAGCAGTAGCTCTAGTAGTAGTAGTAGCCACAGGCACTTGAAGCATATCAACTGTAAACACACGCCGCCGCCATTGCGCGTACACTTACACATAAATATATATATTTATATGTAACTGTGTACGCGCAATGGCGGCGGCGTGTGTTTACAGTTGATACGCTTCAAGTGCCTGTGGTAGTAGCCCGCTTACATTAACTGCCGCTGGGCCGCTGCCAGGGCCACCGCTGCCAGCGGCAGTTAATGTAAGTGGGCTATAGTACTAGAGCTATAGTGACTAGTACTACTACTACTAGTGTAGTGACCCTAGGGGTGGCCGACTACGGTTCGACAGACGTTAGTTCGTAACGCGTGTCCAGTGGTGGGATTCACTGTCCGCTCCTGCCGGTGTATTAGGCAGGACGGTGATGTCACGTAGCAGATAGCAGATAACACCAGTTAAACAGAACACGGTGAGATCACTGGCAGCAAGATCAAGCCCGCACGTACAGCACACACGCGGCGCCATTGACTATATATATACATGTAATATGTTGTATATATATATAGTCAATGGCGCCGCGTGTGTGCTGTACGTGCGGGCTTGATCTTGCTGCCAGTGGGTGAGATTTGGTTAACGGTACGGTTATATAGCTTTTATTGCGTGTTACTAGTGTACAAATGATTCCCCTGCATTCGTATATGCGGCAGTTAATGTAAGCGGGCTATAGTACTAGAGGCTAGAGCTACACTAGCAGTAGCAGTAGCAGTGATCGTCGACTCATACGGGTCATAGCCAGTGGTCATAGCTCTATAGCCCGCGTACAGTGACTGCCGCAGGCCTATGATCGTTATTGAATCTGACATTACTCAGAGACACTGACACTCGTAGTCGTACTAGTTACTAGTAGTAGTACTAGTAGTAGTAGGTACTAATACTATGCTGACACAAACAATAACATAACTCGAACAGGCTCTACGACTGTTTGTTTCAGACGTAGTGAGAAGAGAGAAAGTAACTTGTGTTGTGGCTAAGACTAATTCGCAGTTAGTAACACTAACAATAAGAGTTAACACTGTCAGTGTACTGGCACTAGCACCTTCACCAGAAGTGATGCCTTGTGAAATACAAGAGTGGGACAATATACGATACGATACGATAGCACTTGTACTGGCACTGTAGCTTGGTTTAGCTTTGTACTACTGTAGTGGCCCTAGGGTAGCCAAATACGGTTCGACAGGCATTACCCGGTTACCGCCTGTCCCAGTTGTTTGGGATTCAGTGTTCGCTCCCGCCGGTGTATTAGGCAGGACGGTGATGTCACGTAGCAACTAACAGGTAGTACCAGTGGAACAGAACGCAGTTAGATTCGGTTAACTGTACGGTTATAGTTTTATTGATTACTACTAGTTTACAAATAATTCCCCTGCATTCGCATATGCAGCAGATCCTATATCTATCTCGTCTAATATTACAGCATTAACGCGTCGCCGGCTTCGTCTTCCTATCTCTCTCCGGTTCGTCCTTGCTGCGCGTAGACCTAGGTAGCCTCCTCTGTAGTCGCTCGCCGTCGCTACCTAACCGAATTCCCGTTCTTCTCCGTTCTCGTTTTCTTCCCCTCTCCCGATCTTTTCCGGTTTTCACCTACCTGGAAAACCTGTGCTTCTTCCCTATCTCTCTGATGCTTTCTCGCTCTCTCTCTCTTCTTCTTCCTCCTCTCCTTCGTCTTCTTCTTCTTCTTCTTCTTCTTCCTAGACCTGAAAATAATGCTTGCTTCTGCTCGGTGTCGTCTCCCTTATATACCTAGCTGGCAACACCCCCCCCCCCTACGGCTGTTTCATTTGGTGGTGCAACCCGTTCCCGGCACTACCACGATGACTCACCGAGTGGTGCAACGCGTGGCTGGTACAGATTATTGCATCATCTTATGCAACCCGTGCCTACGTAACTATTCCTCTCCTCTACAACCTAGCCTATCCATTCTATTCAAATCTCCTCATATATTATGCTGGCTAATAATATATAATCGGCTAATAATACAAAACCCCGTTGATTATTATATTCTATTTACCCGGCGTCAGCGCCCTTCTCTCATGACTCATCTCGCCCTCATCACATCCCTTGACCTATGACCCAAGATGGCTGCGCCCATGAGCATGTTGATGTATTTATGTGCGGTCCATATTTTATCCTCTCTTTCGTCAATATATGGTTATTCCATCTATATGGTGAGTTCAGTCTATCCATCCCGATCTAGTCTACTGCTCCTGTGAGTTACACACCCCCAAAATCTCCACAACTCTTCCGATGTTCAATTTCAAAGTCGTATGTATCTAATAATGCTATCCATCGGGCTACCATCCCCTCCGGGTTCTTGAAATTGACCAACCAAGTCAACGATGCATGATCGGTTCTTATCTTAAATGGTCTTCCCCATAGATAATGGTGGTACTGCTTGACAAATACCACTACTGCTAACAATTCTTTCTTGGTCGTACAGTATCTCGCCTGCGAGTTGTTCAGCGTCCGACTGCCGTATGCTACTACCTTCTCTTCACCATTCTGAATTTGTGACAATACAGCTCCTAAGCCTGTATTGCTGGCATCCGTATCCAGTATGAACTTGTCCACTGACGTCGGGTAAGCTAACACTGGCGCAGAGGTCAGCGATCGCTTGAGTCGGCCGAACGCTCTTTCCTCGTCCTCTCCCCATCTAAACTTAACGCCCTTTTTCGTCAGCTCCGAGAGAGGCGCCGCTATTGTAGAAAATCCAGGGATGAATCGCCTGTAATAGGAAGCAAGTCCTAGAAAACTTCGAGTCTCCCCCACTGATCGTGGTGTCTGCCAATTTGCTACGGCTTCTATCTTGGCCGGATCACACTCTAATCCTGCTCCCGTCACTATATGCCCTAGGTATTTAACTGTCGTCCGAAATACATGGCATTTCGCCGGCTTTAATTTCAGGTTTGCTGCTCTCAGCCGGTCGAAAACTGTCTCCAGATTCTCGAGTGTCTCCTCGAACGTCTTTCCAAAGATGATGATGTCATCCAGGTAAACTAAACATTTCCGGCCTAGCAAGCCTCGCAAGACCACTCCCATTAGTCGCTGAAAGGTCGCCGGTGCGTCGGACAATCCGAACGGCATCACTCGAAAACGCCACAAAGCGTCCTTTGTGGAGAATCCTGTGACATCCTTCGACTCCTCGTCCATTTCTACCTGCCAGTAACCTGCTGCTAAGTCCAACGTTGCAAACCAGTATGCTGGTGCCTGTAAAATTTCTTTCTCCTTGGTGCCTCTATCCTCTCTGTGTGCATCTCCATCGCTGGTCGGGCATTCTCTCCCATCATTCCATGCCTGCTATCTGGGCAGTTCTCGTTCGGGCATTTCCCGACTGTCTTACGTGACAACGCATCCGCATTCTGGTGATGCTGTCCCTGCTGTGTCTCACTCTCCTCCACTGGTTTGAGTTCCCCCACTTGCTGATCCTCCAACAACAGGGCAGGCTTCCCTCCTGTGTGGGAGATAACCAAGGGTACCTTTATCACATCCCTCGGGAATACTGTCTGCTCCATCCTAATCCCCTGTGTCTCCAGCTTCTGAAATTCTGGGATAGGCATTAGCCTTACCTGCTTCCCTCTGGATACCTTATCGTCAGCATAAGTCCATCCAGGGATTCTGTATCTTTTCCCTGGCCTCAGCATCGTCGTCTCGTCCACGTATACTGGTCTACCATTCTCTCCTCCTGTACAAAATCCTTGAATCTCTCTCCCATCGAGTGATAGCATTCCTGTAGTCATGTTCAGGATAGCATTGTTTGGGACGAAAAAGTCGAGTCCCAAAATCCCATCTAAATCCTCTAATTGTGCAATAACCATTGTTTTCCTATTGTAGGTATGCTCGGCGATTTCTAGACGGACAACAGTCTCTCCAGGACTATTCATTGCTTCGCCGTTCGCCATCTTCAGATCCCTCTTTCTTGTTATCAGCTGTAGCCCTGCACTTGCTTTGATGTCGTTGAACCTATTTTCATTTATCAGCGTCGTACTTGATCCGCTGTCTACTAAAAATTTCATGTCACATCCCTCTACTTTCACAGGTATCACCCACGTTGGATGACACTGCAGTGGTGCCACGGAGATAATCGGTATCCGTGTGGCTTCAGCCTTGCCTGAACTATTTTCTCTATTTCCCGGTATTTTAATCCCTACGTGTTTTCCTGTATCCTCCCCTTCTTCCATCTTGCCCTTCTGAGAGAGTGTGAAACCAGTAGATCGTGGCATAGCTCCCTCAGTCGGCTTACTATGGACCAGGCTTCCTCCCTCTTTCTCTTCGTCCTCGGCTGCTTCCTCTCCTTCTTCTTCTTCCTCCTAAACCTAACCTGAAAAATAACACTCTCCCTCTTTCTCTTCTTCTTCCGCTTCTTCTTCTTCTTCCTACCTAGCCCTGAAAAATAACGCTAACGCTGCTCGGTTCGGTGCGCCTTATATACTTAGCTGGCACGCATATTTCGTCCGCTGGTGCAATCGCTTTCACCTGATGATGCAACCCGTGCCTGATACGATTATTATTGCACCATCCGATGCAACTCGTTTCTAAGTAAATATTCCTCTCTTCGACAACTTAGACTATTCATTCTATTCAAATCTCCTCGTATATTATGCTGACTAATAATACATAACCGCGTAGATTATTATACTCTATTTATCTCGTTATGCCTTATGGCTTTTCGCGTAAACACTCCTTGTTCCCCCCCCCCCATAGCAGCAGCAGTGATAGCCTGATCCAAGATGGCTGCGCCCATGGACGTGCGTGTTGACGTATTTATGTGCGATCTATATTTCATCCTCTCTCTAGTCAATATATATGGTTATTATATCTATACTGCGAGTTCAATCCATCCATCCTGATCTAGCCTACCGCTCCTGTGAGTTACACACCCCCGAAATCTCCACACTACAAGCTGTGAGTACAGCCCTTGTTGTCACTGCCACAGTGACAGTGGCAGTGTGAGTGTGTGGACCAACGAGGTCTATATAGCACTGAATCCTATGTACCATCATGTAGCTCTAGAACTATAGCCCTTCGCTCCGCCACAGGCCTGTAGCGGAACGAAGGTCTATAGTTCTAGAGCTATGTACCATGTACAGTAGATCTAATAGTAATACTAATAGTAATAGTTTAATTGTACACCATATATACATGTAGCCCGACCAGGCTCTATGTCTGTTCCATGTCTTCTCGCCACGTAGTGAGAAGCGAGAAGGTAACTTGTGTCTACACCATATGTAACTATTAGTATTGAGAGATGGTCACACATCGTAGGACGTGTGTTGACGTTAGTCCTGCAGCATGGTTGTACTGTAGCGTAGGCTGTACAGTGTATTACCGAGTCGTTATTGAACACAACATGTATATAATGTACATCATGTACATCACTGAATTCTGTATCAGTTGATTTTCCGAAATATTTAATAATTTTCCAAAAAAATATCCACTATAAATTTAAGCCATGAATATTTATCTTACCACAGTGTTGGTGTACATCTTCAGCAGGAACATTGTGACTGAAGCAAGACGACTCATTCCCCCTTCTGCAGAATTCACTATGTCAGTGGAACCAAAGTCACAGGAGGAGAATGTAACGGATGTGATACCTAGGGGGAGCCATGATGCGGCACGTGTGCAGCAATACGAATATGAAACACAGCACTTTATGTTTACCCCGAAGTCATTTATTGATGGAGGTACTCTTGGTTCACTCCGGATTTAAGCACGTGATAGAAATCTCAGTTTGTTTGTAAAATACAATAACAATGCTCAAAGTAGAATGCTCTATAGTATAGCAAATTTAATCAGTTGAAGGTATCACCAAAAACCTATGAATACTACAATGTAATATTAATCCTAGACTCCATCTATATATATATATATATCTTATCTATGTAACTTGAGATTTGAGAAATCAGTAGGGCTGTAACGATACACTTGCGTATTCGGTGCACCGAATATTGTTGTTGGACGATACGTATTCATTATTCATGTCATCATTATTCGAATACTGACGAATACAAATAATATAAATGGAACCTACTTGAAAAAATCTTTTTTAAACTGCAATTCTACGCCGATTTGCTCGAATTCTGAATGTCGTTTGCAGCTTTCCCCGTGAACGCACCTAGACTGGTACCCGTCCCTTCTCACACGTCGAGAAGGCCGGGACGTGTATCTTACTGTCACGTGTAACTCGCCCCATATCGAGCGTGTGAGGAGGGACGGATACTAGGGTTGCAGCGGTATACCGGTATTGCGATATTATCGCGGTGTAATATTTTAGAATTATCATACCGTATCCAGCTCAATACCGCGGTTTTCTTGTTGACATGTGATATAGTACAGGGCTCGATCGCGAGCGCGTAGCGTGTTTCACTAACGTCCGCTAAAAGTTGTTTGTTAACGGACGACAGTTGTCCGGAGGCATAGCGGACAACACACACACTCGCGCGTGCGCACGCACACACGCAAACACATGTATGTACACACACATGCACGTGCGCACACACACACACACGTGCACACGCAGACACACATACGCATTTTCGTGTGAGTCTGCTA